CCCGTCGCCGCGCTGCAGTACACGAGTCGCCGTCGCCGCCACCCCCCACACAAGTCACCCCACCATCCGCCGGAGACGTCGCAGAGAAGCTCCGGGCAGGCTCGCGCCAGACTCAGATGGGGCCCAAAAGGGCCCAGATCTGGGCCGGGAGGGTATCGCCGCCAGCCACCGCGTCGCCCCGCCGCCAATCAGCCACGCGACCACCACCTCGCTACCCGGCACTGCGCCACCCAAGGAGCCATGTCGCCGCCGGATCAGCTGCCGCCGAAGTGCACCGCCACCAGCCGCCCGCCGCCCGAGCCGTGGCGCTGCACGGGGGGGAAGAACGGGGCCGCCGCCGCCAGCACTACACGAGCAAGGCCCAGTGGTCCAGGCTGGCGGCGTCAGGAGGGTGAAAAGGGGAGGGGAGGCGCTGGGAAGGGCGGGATGGGAGCCCCCGGTCGTCTCGCTCGGGGAGACGACGCGGGGGGCGAGAGACTCCATATTTATGTATACTTTACATGTGGAGTACATATTTTGCGTTCCATATATTAGTAAGTAACAGCTCCTGGAAAATAGCATCAGGTGGCACCTTACAAGACAAACAGCTCCTGGAAAATCAGTATGCAGGCTAATAATTTTCTGTTTATCAAAACCACAAGCATCTGAACCAGTTGCTCCTCACAACTACCATTATAATTTCCAATGTGGCAATGCACATCAAGCTATGTGTTCCAAAAGAGAGAAACTATAAACATATACAGAGTGCTAAATGAATGCTAAATTACAGTTATCAGTAATTACATGTTCACCACGTATGTCATTCCATGCTTATCTGTCTCCTGCGGATTGAGCTCCCATTCCGAGACAAAGAAGCTGCTCCATTATGCCCCCTCTCAGAATGCATGTATGCAAATGACAATGGTTCGGTGCCCTGAACTGAAAGTTCCCTACCTGGCGTTCCTTCTCCTTCTGGTGGGCTTCCTGTATCCATGTCTGCGAGGTGCTCGATAATGTGATTAGGTATGCTTAGTGGGCTCTCTGCTGCACCATCCACATTTTCTATTGCGGGCTCGTTTTTATCTGGAGTGTTAGATGAATTGTCGCCCTCGTGGAAGAGCTTAGAGAGAATGGCAGGCCATCTGCGCCATGAACTCTGACCGCCGTCACTGCTGAATTCATGTCGGTTGTTGTAAATGGTTATGACAGCGTGCATGATTAATGCCAGCACTGACGATGTTCCTGTGATGATGAACAACCCCTGAAAGCTGAGCAATGTAAGGCTGCTTGAAGTTTGGGAGTCATCTTTGTCAAGGCATGACGTAGCACCATACAATTCTTTCTGCATATTAACCATTCTGTCGTCTGATGCGAATTTCAGTATTCCCCTCGAAATATCAGGTGTGAGTGGAGAGCCTCGAGGGAATGCCTGCAGAGTTAGCACACAATGACGATCAGAAAAGGCTTCACTGGTGAATACATGCCAGGCATAATGCTGAGCCAGTTATTAAATTATCAATTTCCACCATCCCAAAATAAAGCAAGGCAGATATATTGGTCATTCACGCAAGCCCTTGGTAAGGTGATTGATCATAATGCTCGCTCTCAGAATGGCTAATGATCTTACTGAAATTAAACTCAATATACTTGATACAGATTAGTGTAATACAAACAGAAAGTTAAAGCAAACTAAATGAAGACCTTATTAAGTAGATTTATCATGCCATTCAACACTTCAAGAAGCAAGCAAGCAAGCATTCTATTTCCCAATTGAATACAAATAATGTAGCAACACTTTCCACAGAACATGATCCAGCATCATTTTTAGGTTCTTGACAATGAAAATATCTAATCTTAAGTTCGTCCTTCGTTAGCTTGTTCACATGTGACAAATCAGGAATTTTAAAGTACAATTCAAAGATTGGCTAAAACTATAATTTTAACCAACAGTTCACTCTAATAATGTTTCTTTTGGAGATAGTCTGATGGCCTATAAATATATACAAATTTGAGCTACTAGCATGATCCTACAGCAAAATAGCAGCGGAAATTGATTCAGCATCTAGGATTTAGAATGCAAGAAATGTGCTACTATACAAAAACAGGAAACTGGTACTCACATAACCAAATCCATCGAGCTTGTAGGTTGGTCCAACCATAGTGTAGTTGTGGCAATACTGTTTAAGGAACACCTTAAGGTATGGTATCTCATCAATAATGACTGCAACTCTTCCAGATGTTAGGGCTTCATTGTATTGCTCAGGAGAGTCGAAGGGAATCATCTTTGATTCATCAATTTTCAACCTTTTCAAAAGAACAGGCAAGAAAGAATCATTGAGGTAGCCGACATAGCTCCCGTTCCTGATAACTTCTTCTAAATTGGTGACTGTTGGCTGAAGTTGTTCCACTGTGAGAATTGAGCTTAAACTTGCAGTATAACTCTGCTGCAATATCAGCACTACGAAAAGCCAAATAACTACTGCAATTCTTGATAAGTTGTTCAGTATCCTCTCCCTATGAGCAAACACGAGTGTTGAGAAGGAGAAGTAGAAGACCAATCCAATTTGACTGCCTGGGGGCCCTCTGAAATCTTCATTTGTTCTATGCTCAATACACCAGACTACAAAACCTGTGAAGACAAAGAAGGCCCCAGCTCCTAACCATAGGTCAGCTGTCAAAGGATCTAGGAATGTCCATGCAGTCTTCTGCCTCTGGTCCCGGACTGGAACCAGCATGCGCACCCCTGACTCTGTGTAAGGAAGAGTAAAATCCACATATAGAGAACGGTTGGCCAAGATTGTTATATCACCTACCACAACATCATATTCCTGCCAGCAACACATATAAAGTGAGTTGCGATACTTCCAATGACTTTAAAAGGCGATAATTCCCCTTTTAACCTTACAGGGCTTTACAAGAGTACAACATATGCAAAGTACTTTTTTTTGCGGGTTACATATGCAAAGTACTTAATTGCTAATTATACTAATAACTGGAAGACAACCCTCAACTTGGGCGTATTCATATTGATACACCACTAAAATAATGCAGATAAGACAAAATGCAAGCAATTAAGCATAATCACCTAGAAGAAGAGTAACAAAATCTAAAAAATTATCATGAATGGTAAATAGTACAAAAAATGTAATACAATCTGGAAAAGGAAAGGAACTGTACAATTTGTCAATGTAGACTATTTTTTTTCCTTGTTTGTGCACGGGTTAAACAAGCAACAATAAAGAAAACTTTCATGAACGAGTGCGGATATATGATTTTATACATTACCATACTAATGACCAATGGTCAATTAGATAATTACACTCTACTCTTTGTATACTTAAGTATTTGAGAAGAAAAACACTGAAATCCTAGTGCGGTTAGGCCATTCTGATCATCTCACGAATTTATTTCATTTTTGCCAGTTTTAGCTCCAAATATATCTCCTCTGGGGTAGGAGAGATCATAAAAAGGAGAAAAATGGAACAAAAAGAAGTCCATGCATACCTTACGATAAACACTGTAGACAAGATCGTCATAAGTTCCTTTACTATTTCCTTTCTTGTCTGCAAACGGCTTATAGTGACGGGGTACATCGTAGGATAATGCATTAATTACTGCCTCAAACACATCTATGCAGAACCCCTTGGGTTTACCATTTTCAAATTTTACAAATTCTTCAAACCCAGGTTTGACAGGTACGCCTATTTGGAGAGTTTTATTCATTGGCAATAGCCAACCTCTAGGCACATTTTCGTTATCTCCTGGCCATCTGATGGTGCCAAGATCGGCCTTCACATTTAGACTGCCAGAGATGCCAGATCCTGGAGTCCAATAACCGACTACTTTTCTCTTCTGACCGATAATGTTGATTATCGTGTAATTGACTGATAATAACTGCATGTCCGCAATACAGAAGTTCCCGCTCATACCCATGAACGTGATGTCCAAGAGTGAGCCTCGCAATTTTTCAGCAGCCTTTGAAGTATCCATTCTGTCAAAGTCAGTGGACCCATTGTTTGTTACAGATGGCCCAAAGTCTGAATTCACATATCCAGCCTTCTCTGCTGCTAATGCTAATGCCCATATGGTATCATAAGCATAGAGACCATACACCACAGGCATACTTACTGCAATTCCAGGATTCTCCAATTGGTATTTCTTGCGCCATCTCTGACTAAGGTTTTGAAGTTCCACAGTATGTTGAACATGAGGTTTCACCCCAAGAACTCCTTGCATCACATCAAGTGCCGGCGAACCAACCACATCAAAGATATCTGTCAAGCCATATGCGGTAATCCAGACAAAGCCCCGGCCCATCATTCCTTCATCTTTAGCAAGCTTGAAAAAGTTACGGGCTAAAGTATGAGACATACGCACAACAAATACACTTGTCCAATTCTCTTTTAAGCCGGAGATAGCACTCTTTATATCATTCTCTGTGGCTGAAGGATGGATCTTGCACCTGTATGAAACATGAGTGTCGACTTGTCTGAGGGCATCAACAAGATCAGGAATGAACCTGGTATTGGAATCATCATCCTCAAAGACAGGGATGACTTCCCTCCAACTGTGTTTCTGAACAAGTGCGGCAATAGCTTCTGCTTGAGAGGAGTCGTTCCATGCCGTCCGGATGAAGTATGGAGTTTGCGCGGATCGCGACGGGCTATTTGCAGAGAATGAAATGATTGGAACCGATGATTTGTTACCAAGCTCAGCAAGAAATTTAGCTTGAGTTGACGTCTGCGGGCCAATTATCGCTTGCACGCGGACATTTTTCAGTAGATCAATACCTGCAATGATACTACTTTAAAACATATATTTTACAGCAGATTAAGGGTCACTATCAAACAAATGCAAGGAAAACGTGCATAGGTACAGTACATAGCAGCACCTAAGCTTTTGGGTGGCTCTATACCATTCACTAACATATGATTAAATTGGTGTAAAATCTGCAGTACAAAAGGTTCGGGGTACACGAGGCCGGTTTCACCCTAACAAAAATAACAGCTGACAACAGTATATTTTCCCTCGAATAATAAACAGATATAAATAACAAATGTTGAGAATAGCTCTAGCTTTTCAACTCATATACTTCAGTTCCAAATCTGAGGACGGGGAGACTTCCGAAATTACTTGGCTCGACGAGCTGGGGGACGCGGAAGCAGGGGATACCTTCTATCTATACCTCGGGGGGCGGCGCGACGGTGTCGAAATAAGCAAGGAGCCGAGGGCGCGCCTAGCAGGGCAGCGCCGGCCGCCGGCGACATGGGAAGCGAAAAGAAGTTTTTTTTTGAGGGGTAAAAGCCTTTTATTACTCAAAGTCCACAGAAGGTGGGATACAAGTTTGGTCATGTGGCTGGCCAAGCCACACATGACGCCCAGGAAGTAAAAAACAAAGCGTATTTAGCTAACTTGTGGGCTTCAACATTCGCCTCACGACCTTCGAAAAAAAATTTACTAGTGGGTGGAACTCTGCTTCTGATTTCTCTGATTACAGCTCCATACTGTCCTTGGCTTCCCTTAACTAGATCTTCAACAACTTGCTTGCAATCGGATGCTACGATGTAGCTATGTTGGTTGAGATCTTCCGCCAAAGCCACGGCTTCACGACACGCTATTGCTTCCAAAGTTGCTGGATTCCAAACTCCTGCAATGACAAGCGCGGAACTGCCCATGTAGCGACCCTGGCTATCTCTGCATATAGCAATGGCTGAGCCTCCAAGCTGCCCCCGAGTGCCCGCATCTACGTGGATCTTTGCATGGTTTGCTGGGGGTGCTCTCGGTCGCACTGACCTTCTGTTCCCAGTCGTGAGGCGACCTTGTTTCTTGGGTTTTCTCAGCACATCAAGATCTTGAATATACCTAGTTATAAAGGCCGATATCGCATGTGGGGTTTGAAATATTCCATCATGTATGGCTTTCCTCCTCGATGTCCAAACAGCCCACATCGTCACTGCCACCAGGGTGAATTGGTCGTGCGAGAGGGACTCCAACAGGTTGAAGAGCCAACTCTTGGCTCGGTTCTCATGTGTAGCAGCAATGGCACTGCCTAGCTCCTCGTCCACTAGCGCCCAAGTACATCTTGAAATGGTGCACTCGAGCAGGGAATGTCGCCAGGAGTCCGGAGCGCCACATAATTCACATGTGCTCGCCGTCGACATGTTCCGGTTCGCCCTCACGTCCTTGGTCGGGAGCGAGTGTTTCGAGAGTCGCCATAAAAACATTCGAACCTTCGAAGGCACCTCCGTCTTCCAAAGAGACTTCCAGGCGCTGGAGTCTGCATGCGAATGTGATGATCCCGAGGCACTGTTTAACCAAGCTTCTCTTCTCTGCATCGTTGCCACTAGCATATTGTATGCTGACCGTACCGAAAACTGGCCCGAACGCTCGTGAGCCCAACACCAGAAGTCGTGCATGGGTGTTGTGGGCAGCGGTATGCTAAGGATTAACTTAGCGTTAAACGCAAGGAATGTAGAATTGATCAATGTCCTGTTCCACGTTGCATTTGTGTAATCAATCAGTTCAGAAACTGTGACTGGAGGTGCAGCTACCAGGCATCCATATGGTCTCATCATCTCTGGGTGGGGGAGCCAGTTTTCTGTCCAAATATCTGTGCTCTCTCCATTGCCTATGTGCTTAATTAAATCCAGCTTCAAGATATCCCGTCCCTCCACTAGGGCTTTCCAGACCTGACTAGGATGACTCCCAAGTGAAGCTTCAAGTATGCTGGAGTTTGGGAAATAGATGCTTTTCAGTATACGCGCACTAAGGAAGGCGGGGTCCTGCAGCATACGCCAAGCTTGACGAGCTAGCATAGCAAGATTAAAAAGCTCGAAATCCTTGAAGCCAAGCCCTCCCATGCTTTTTGGTTGAGTCATAGCCTGCCAGGAGACCCAGTGTGGTTTGCGCTGACCGTTCTTACTTCCCCACCAAAACTTCCTGATCAACATGTTCAGATGCTCACAAAGGCCCCTTGGTAATTTGAAACACGACATTGAGAAAACAGGTATTGCTTGAGCCACAGCTTTGACCAACACCTCTTTGCCCGCAGAAGACATCGTCCTCTCAGTCCTCTCGACCCATCCTTGAATCTTGTTCCACAATCTGTCCTTCAAATATTTGAACGCGCCATTTTTCGAGGCTCCCACGTCTGTGGGCATCCCTAAATATTTCTCACTCAAAGTTTCATTAGGGACGTTCAAGATATTTTTGACATCATTGTGAACCAACTCGGGAACACCTTTGCTGAAGAAAATAGATGACTTGTCAAAATTTATCCGCTGACCTGTGGCAGTGCAATAAATATCCAGGACTTGGTTCACCTCGGTAGCCCCCACACCATTTGCCTTGAAGAACAACAGGTTGTCATCAGCGAATAATAGGTGGTTAACTAATGGCGCCGTAGGTGCCACTTGGATCCCACCTAAGTTGGATGACTCTCTTTTTGAATTTAACAGGCATGACAGGCCCTCTGCTGCTAACAAGAACAAGTATGGAGATATCGGGTCCCCTTGTCGGATACCACGTGAAGGACAGAACTCCTCAAGCTTCTTACCGTTGAAAAGGACAGAAAATTTCACTGAAGATACCATGCTCATAACAATATCCACCCACCTGGAAGTGAACCCCAATTTCAACATTATTGCCTGGAGGTAGGGCCATTCAACTCTGTCATAGGCCTTCATCATGTCTAGCTTGAGGGCACAGGACTGATGTTTTTTGGCTTTGTTCCTTTTCATAAAACGCAAGCACTCATAGGCCGTGATGATGTTATATGTGATTAATCTGCCAGGGACAAAAACTGACTATTCTGGTGAGATAATATCTGGGAGTATTTGCTTGAGTCGATTGGATATTACCTTAGACGCAATCTTGTAGAGGACATTGCACAGACTAATAGGCCTAAACTGTTTGAGGAGTGTGGGTTTTTTTTACCTTGGGAATGAGTACCAAGATTGTCATTGATGCAAGCTGCCGACTCATTACCCTCTACTATTTTGAGCACCACTTTCGTGACCTTTTCTCCACATACCTCCCAATGACGCTGAAAAAAGTGTGCTGGGTATCCATCCGGACAAGGAGCCTTAATTGGGAACATTTGAAACAAGGCGCACTTGACCTCCTCATGGGTATATGGAGCATTCAGGAGGGCATTCATATCAGATGTTACCTTGGTTGGGACGTGTCGCAGAACTTCCTCCATGTTATGCACCCCTTCTGACGTGTACAAATTTTTTTAGAACGCTGTTGTCATCTCCTCCATCGCAGCTGGCTCCTCAATCACTTGCCCCTGATCATCATGCAAAGATTTGATTTGATTTTTGCGTAGCCTTCTACTGGCCCGTAGATGGAAAAAGTAAGTATTTTTGTCACCATGAACTAGCCATTCCACACGCGCTCTCTGGCGGCAAAGCATTTCCTTGCGGTGAAAGAGCTCCAGCAGCCTGTCAACAATTTTCGTTTCTTCCCTGGTGGGGCCGGATCTTCCTGGAATGGCTCGCAGGAGCTGCAACTGTACTTTTAGCTGTGCTATTTGCTGTCGAACCGAGCCAAAGCTCTGCCGATCCCAAGCCGACAGATCACCAGCCAAGTCACCCAGCTTTTCATGTAATGATTGCACGCTCCCACCATCCTGCATGCTCCACCTGCCCGCTACAGTAGTAAAGAGGGATTCCTCCCTCTCCCACATGGTCTCATATTTAAACGTTTTGGGACCCACCCTGCATGCATGCACATCACGTAGCATGAGAAGGATCGGGCTGTGGTCGGATCCCGCTACCGTTTTGTGCTGAAGTGTAGACGCTGGCAATGCTGACAGCCATTCTGGATTAGCCAAACATCTATCCAGCCGAACGCGAGTATAGGTGCCATTCGTAACCTTTTTCTCGAAAGTCCAGGTTGTGCCCGTGTACCCTAAATCAGACAACCCACAAGTGTCGACCGCCTCACAGAAACCATCAATCTGAGCTTGGCTCCGACTTCCAACGCCATCATGTTCGCTCAGGTTCAAAACTTCATTGAAATCGCCAATAACAGCCCATGGCCTGTTTCTGTGTCTCCGCTATGTTTTTCAGAGTATTCCACGTGGTTTGCCTGTTTGGTACTTGCGCATCGCCATAGACAAAAGTGATTCTGACCTGCATGTCCACCATATTGTCAACTAGAGCATCAATGTGGTACCTCGAGTAACCAATTATTTCCACTTTTATTTCATCATTCCAAAAAATACAAAGACCACCACTTCGTCCAGAACTACTCAACTACTCACTGCGTAACTTCTATTAAAACCTAAACCTTCCGCTAGCTGTTCAACCCTCGAGCCTTCTAATTGTGTTTCAAGAATACAGAGGATTGAGGGGGCAAACTGCCTCGCTAGAGTGCGAAGCTCACGAACTGTCGCGGCTTTGCCAATTCCGCGACAGTTCCAGCACAATAGACTCATTGCGCCTGGCGAACCCCTTCTTGAGGGTTCGCCAAACGCGCATCAGGGGTCTTGCTAGTAGTTGCACTCTTCGCAGTGTTTGTTTCAGCTGTGGAAGGGCTCGGCTTGTTTCTCTTTGTCTCCTGCTTGGACGTGGGGCTCGGAGGGATCGCCGGAGGTGGCATAAGCAGGTTTTTGTTAATCTGGATGGGGTGTTGTGGTTGTGCGGTTGCTGGATCCATTAGAGCAGTTCTTTTTCTGTTTCTATCCAGGTCTTCCATCGCGACATCACTGCTTGACAGGCCCGGATCCACGTACTGCTGGCTATCAGCTGCACCTCTAGCTGCAGCTCTCCCTCCTCCTCGCCATGTACGGCCGCGACCGCGGCCACCTCTAGGGCTTTCATCCCCTCCCGGACCTCTACCAGGGCCTTGGAACCAACCTGCTTTGATGTCCTTGAAGACTAGTGCTTTCGGTGGGTGAACTCCATCGCCGCACTCCTTATACAAGTGCCCCAAGTAACCACATACAGCGCACCAGTCTGGCAACCTCTCGTACTTGATTCTGAAGATAACACGTTCCATCCCCTCCTTCTTCACCACCAATGAGACTGCATTTTTTAGAGGCTTCGTCACATCTATTCTTACCCGAACCCTTGCAAAATTGCCCTCAAAGTCCTGTGACCTTGGTTCAGCAAATATGAACTCTCCCACCGTTGACGACAGGGCCTTGATCTTGGAAAAGTAACCATCAGGTAGATCATGTATTTGCATCTAGATATCGATCTTTTTGAGTTCAATGGTCGACGGCTTGGTGAATCCGTCGTAGGGCGCCAGGACCACCGCCTTCCCCTTGAAGTACCACGGTCCCTCCTCCATTACCCTCTCCCAGTCGCCGAGGCACGAGAATTGGAGGGTATAGAGGTTGTCTTCCAGCGGCCTGATCTTAACTTCCTGCGCCAGATCCCACGCCACCCTCATGCCCTTGTAAAACCAGTATTGGCTATAAAATTTTTCGGTGTGAACCCTAGCTATAGCCATCCAGCGAGTCGCCTCTTGCTGCAGCTCACCGTCCTCCACCACCACATCTTGCAGATCATCTTCCCTTAGACCAAGTTCCTCCATCAGCGATTCAAGTTCAGAGGATGAACCCGACGCCGATGCTTTCGCAGCCATGATTCTCTCGCTCGGGGTGTGGTTTCGCGAGCGGTACGGACCCTATCTCCGCCCCCTCTGCGCGGCCACCACGTCCAGAAGAAGCAGCAGGCCACCGTCGGGGAGAAGCGGCAGGGGACGACGATCTCTACGGTGAAGGCAGCGCCGTCGCCCGAGAGGAGGAAACCCTAACGAGAAGTGAAAAGAAGTAGAAAGGGGCGACGGCGCCTCCCCTGCCGGATGCCATGGACTCACGCGGAAGGTTGGTCTTAAGTTAATCAAGGCCCATGATCGGCCCACCCAAAAGATAAGCCCGTGTGTTTTCAGAAGATCATTAGGCCCATGTACCCGTCTTCGTAGCGAGTATTGCCTACTGCTCAGTTTGAACGGGGAGGCTGTGCAGCGGGTACGTACCTGCGGACGCGGCCTCGACGGCGTCGACTCCGGTGTCCCGGAGGTGAAGCTTCAGCCTGGTGCGGTGGGCGGCGTGTCTAGCGTCGGCGTAGAAGTCCTCGAGAGCCAGCTCGATGCACGTCCAGCTGATGTTCCCCACCCATGTCGACCTGTCCAAGATCACACCCACGTCCACCACCTGCTGCCGCCGCCGAGGAACCACGCCACCCCGCCGCGCCGCGACACCGGAAGCCGCGCCGAATAGAAGCGCTAGAGCGAGGAGGAGGGCGTGGCGGCGGAGGACCGCCATGGCGACCCGAGGAAGCGCCACGGCTCTCATACTTTTTGATGAACGCCGCGATGGGTTTGTGATTGTGGCTGCCTTTACATGCATGCACGCGCCAGCCAATTCCTTTCACTGACCATTTACGCAGTGTTCTCTCCCCAAGCTCACACTCAGGCTGGTCACAGTTTAGGAGTAACATCACACACTCCAATACAACTTTGCTTATGTGGCACATATTTAGTGAAGAGAGAGGTGCTTGTGGTAACTAGCTAAGTTACCGGAACATCACACACTCCAAGAAACAATTAGTCTATAACCTAATAAATACATCGTTGCATGACACTACATAGATGTTCCTACCCACTATGGTGGTAGTAACATAGTCTAGGGAAGTGTGAAATTACTAGCTTATGTTCTTGCCCATTGTGACCCGCCTCAGCTGACCGTCTGATCGTGTGCTTCCGAACGAGCCAGGTGCACGCGCGGCTCCTTCTGTGGCGGGTAATTATTTACTTATTTAATTTCTCTGCGAGGAAACATAATGAAAAACCCAAGAGTTCAAGATATTATTAGATGTTACTCGAAAATTCATGGCATTTCCAGGACGAGGGAGCAGCGTGTGGACGGTGTGGGTTCAAACTTCAAAGTTATTGGTCTAGGTCTCCCTCCTCAAGGAACTCCGGAAGCTTGCCAAGTTGCCGTGTTTGGCCGTTGAAAAGTTGCCAAATTATTGCCGTGTATGGCCATGGAGAAGTCAGCTTGCATACAGTAGGCGTGCGTACTGATCCTACTCCTGCAGCTGGAGTTTTCTGCAGCAGGCAGCAGCGATCTGCTAAATGGGGACTCAAGATCTTGTACGCGCTAAATCAAAGTCAGCTGGTAAAGCCAAAACAAGCTCGATCGAGAATCTTTCTGAATGAAAGAAACAAGCAAATAGAGGATTTCAGAGTGTGGAGGGAAGGAGACGAAGCAGCTGTCACTTGGGGGTGTGTGTGGACACACCGGTCAAAAATCACGATCCAGCCATCCCCTTCAAACCTGTCCTATAGACCAGCACGACGGCACCTCTCATGTTCAACCCATATTCGGGGTAGATATGGAAAGTCCAGACACGCTCAAGCGCGTTGGCCACATCGGACCTAATAGATCAAACCCTATTTATAAAAGTTTAAGAAATTTTGCCAAATGGATAAAAAAATACAAGCATAATTCAAATTCACAAGCATGGTGACATGGCTTATGAGTTGGCACCGACTAGAATGTTTTTTTTTTCTGAAAAACTTCCAATCTATTCATCTTTAATCATGACAGTACAACGAACAATAGAAGTAATAATATCTAGATTCTTAGGCCACCTAGCGACGACTAGGAGCACTGAAGCGAGCCAAAAGAAAGCCGACGTCATCGCCCCTCCCTCGCCGGAGCCGAACACAACTTGTTGTAGTAGACAATCGGGAAGTCATCATGCTAGGCATCAAAGGACCAAGGCATCAGAACAACAACCGCCGCCGATGAATAGAAGCTTAGATAGGAAGGATCGAACCTGAAGACACATGGACAAAGACGAACAAAGACCGGACTGGAACAGATCCACCAAAGGCAACTGCCGATCGAATCCCGCGAGATCCTCCGGAGACACACCTCCACACGCTCTCCGACGATGCTAGACGCACCACCGGGGCGGGGGCTTGGCGGGGAGAACCTTATTCCATCTTCATAAAGCTGTCGTTGTCTCGTCTTTCTGAGCAGGACACAAACCTAACAAAACTTGAAGAAACACCTAAAAACGGAGCCCTCCCTCCGGCAAGGGCCGGGATCCACGGCGCACCCATGGCTCTAAGGCCATAGAAGATGTGGAAGATCGGCGCCGCCGCCGACGGGAGGCAGAAACCCTAGCCGCCTTTTCTTGGAGGAGAGACGAAGGGAGGAGAGACAAAAAAGTTGCCGTCTGGGATGTTAACCGGTCGAAACTGGTGAAAAATAGTGAAAAACCACATGACTATTGTTTTTGTCTAGTTTTCAAAGTGGATGGTTGTGAATTAGACATTTTTGTCGTCTGTATAGGGTTGTGTTTTAGACTTTGGTGACAATTTGAGATTGTAATAGGGTATGGTTAAGTCTCAGTCGACTAAGGTTTAATCAAGTCTCAGTCAAGTGACATAACATGCAAAAGAGAAAAGAAAATTTTGCACATATCTTAATGCAAGATCCCATGAATATAGCACCGACTGAGACTTCTGACTCAGACTTAGCAAGACTGATTGTAATACGGTCTTCTTTTTTTTGGTGTCCGACTTTTACAATTTACAGTTGCTTGTCTACAATGTACAGTAATTCTCCATTGCTCACTAGTCACTACAATCAATCTAGCTATTCATCGTCATCGTCATCGCTGCAAGAGAATCAAGTCGGAGTCTCGGAGAGCCGTAGTTGATCACCCAAGGTTTAAGGGCCTCTGCCATTCTCTCCAGAGCCGTCGGGATTCAGAGCCGCCTCATCCCTCTCCTGTCGACCGGCGGCTAGCTCGATCTCACCGGTTGCCGGGCTTGCCGTCCCCGACCACTCGCTCGTGTAGGGCGCGCTGAGCGGGCTGCCAAGCTCGCTGTGCGCAATAGGAGGGGAGGCAACCGTGTTGTTCCGGACAGACACGGCGCCGCCGTCGTCCTTGACCCTGAAGGTGTGCGACGAGGGGTCCTTGTCGTCGAAGAGCTTGAACAAACTCGAGAGCCAGTCCTTCCAGGACAAGTGCGGCGGGAGCTCCCGTCGGTTGGCCGCGACAAAGGTGGCGAGGTGGACGACGCAGCAGAGGAGTGAGGTGGCGCCGGTGATGAGGAACAGGCCCCAGAAGCTGCTGAAGCTGAGGCTGTTGGATGTGAACGGCCCGCCGTCCTGTGTAGCACCATCATCGTTGGGGTCGCCGAACCACTTGCGCTCGATCATGTTCATCTCATCGCTTTCGGCGAGCTTCAGGATGGCCTGCGACAGGTCCGTCACGTACGGCGACCCCTTGGGGAAGGCGAACCCGAACCCGCCGGTCCTGTTGAGCGGCCCCGTCATGGTGAAGTTGTCGCGGTAGGTCTTGAGGAAGATCCTGAGGTAGGGCGTCTCGTTCACGACGGCGCCAATGCTGCCGTTGAGCAGGCATTCGTGGATGGTCTGCGAGTTCGGGTACCGCACGAGCCTTCCCTGCGGGAACCCCGACGCCGTCATGGCCCTGAGCACGAAGGAGTTGTTCATGACCCCGACCATCTCCGTGCCCCGCTGCAGCTCGCCGTAATCGGCCACGGCCGGCTCCAGCTGCGGCACCGTGAGCATGGACGTGAGGCTCGCCGTGTAGCTGGACTGCAGGATGAGCACGACGAAGACCCACACGAGCACCACGAACCTGGAGAGGTTGCTCTTGAGCGTCTCCCTGTGGGCGAAGACGAGGGTGGAGAAGCCGAAGTAGAGGAGCGTGCCGACCTGGTAGGAGGCCGGCCCGCGGAACTCGCGGTTGGCGCGGTGCTCGATGGCCCAGACCACGAAGCCGGTGAAGAGGAAGAAGGCGGCGCTAACGAACCAGAGGTCGTAGCGGAGCGGCTTAAGGAAGACCCACGTCCGCTTGTTGCTCCGCTGGTCGCGCACCCGCACCAACATGGCAATGGCCGTCCCCGCGTAAGGCAGCGTGAAGTCCACGTAGTTCGACCGGTTCGCCGTCATGGTGATGTCTGCCACCGCCGCGTCGAACGTCTGCAGAAAATGGAGGAACGACAAGGCCGATTAATTTATCCAATTTTTTCTCAACGGAAAGAAATCCTTCGGTATGTAATGTGAAAACTGATAGGTTTATACATAATCTGCAGGGCCTCTTCTTCAACAAATATCGCTTTGATAACTGATAACAATATACTCCCTCCGTTCCTAAATAGATGACCCAACTTTGTATTAAATTTAGTATAAAGTTGGGTCATCTATTTTGGAACGGATGGAGTAGTATGCAATTCATATTAAAATATCCAGCATCTAAGTCATTTGTTTCAGTTTGTCTAATTCACATCTAGATTTTTTTTTAAGGATGTCAGATCTAAGCTCTCATAAATATATAATGCAACAATAAGAAACAAAGAAAAAACTTGAATAAAAAAATAGACTACAACCAGATGTGACATAGCTATGTCAAATCTAGATGTGTCTTAGACAGATCCTGTTTGTTTAATCTAAAAACAGCGACCGATATGACCAATACGACCGGCAATGCAGCCAATATGAGTTATCCATGCATCTTGAGAACTGGGCAGCAGCCCAGCCCAATGGCAAGGACGCAAGGTGATAGTGGCCCATCCTTGCAGACTGTTGTTCGACTCACGTCGGCAGCGAATTTACGCGATCTCATTCGGTTCGGTGAGCTTCTTCTATATTGCTAGATCTCATTTTCTTAATTTTAGTTATCCAACGCATCTTCGGCATGGTCGCCCATCGTTTTCGTAGACGGTAGCGGTCTTTGGCGTGTCACCTCCTCCAAATCCAAACAAAAACAAAGGGAAAAGAATGCATACATGTTTAACACACGCACGACTTTTTCTACGCTAAAATGGTACCCAGACCAGCCAAGCAGGCTCCTATATAGTCCTAGTGACCTAGTAGGATGACAAGGATCTCCACTGCTACTATACAAAACTGCGACCAGTTGTTGCTAATTTAAGCAGTATAATCATCATCACAGTTGCTTGATCGCTTACCGCCAGACGAGATCACCCGAGCACGATTCGGTTCCCAAAACAAGCAGCCACGGCCACCCACTACGCTACACGACAAGCTCGTGGGGACACGACTACAGATTCCAGTAAGCGCGCTGCGTGCAGTGCAGATCCCAATCTTCTCAGACGACGTGGAACGTTCAAAGTTCAGTGTGTGGGGCGTGATGTCGTCAATCGTGACATACTGGGCTCACGTTGGCAGGGCACACATCATGCCTTGCTAGGTTCCAAATAACAGAGGTAGTACTACAAAATGAGCAATGTTACACCCACGACGTATATGGTTTTTACGTAAAAAAGGACGTGGAAACAAGGGATTGGTTCGTAGGTTTAAGTAGCTTTTACATAGATGTAGGATGTGCTAGCTACCTA